TCTCTCCAGCCCCTTGAAAGATAAATTTTGTGGGTTACATCAATCTTGGTTGAAGATTGTTTTCTTTTAGGGCTTGAAATACCTTATTCCAAGCTTTCTTTGCTTTGAGGCTTTGTATTGAGAAATCTGTTGTGATTCTCATGGGTTTTCCTTTATGTGTTTCTTTTCTCTAGATGGCTTTTACTATTTTGTTTATGTGCTGAATTTCTGGAATCTTGATCATATAAGTTGTAGATTTATTTTGGTTATGGATATTTGGAGTTCTATATCTTTTATTTGCATGTCAAAACCTTTATCCATGTTTTGGAAATTTTCTGCCATTATTTCTGTGAAGAGATTTTTAATGGCTTTTGCACTGTGCCCAGCTTTTCATTGATTCCAGTCAGTCTTATGTTGTTTGCTTCATCCTGTAGCTGTTGGGTTGACTTTTTGCGGTTTCTTGAGGTTTTTAAGATATCTTTATTTTCCTGGTTGCTAGTTCCATTCCTGTCTTCTAAAGCTGATATTCTGTCCTTGCTGTCATGCACTCTCTTGTGTATACTTTCAGTGGAGTTTCTAATCTGCATTTTTGTTTAGATCTGCATTTTGTTTTGTTGATTCCATTTCTTATTTACATTTGGCATTCATTGGTTCCATTTTTCTGAGCTGAAATTTTCTGAGACTCACATGACTAGAGGCAGCACCTCAGGAATATCACCATAGTACTCTGTGAAGACACATGTGCCACTATGTGGTTAGGAAGATTGAACAGAAAGAGACAGGATGAGGCATCGTTATCAAGTGCCTCTATGGGACAGCTGCCCCGCTTGCCACCTTCTTCTACATACCTGCTTTTGCTTCACCTGTAGGTTTTGCTGTAAGATGTAGCCTGAAATAGGAATATTGAGAAAGATTTCAGAGCCCCTTTGATGGTGGCTGTTGGAACTGATAGAAAGCCACCAAATTTTCAAAAGCCTTTTGACTACAGAGAACCAAAATCTCAGATTAAACAGGAAGTAGGAAGTAGCATGTAAAATTTTGGTTCTCAGGAATTGACAAGTCAGGTTTCTTTACTCTTTAGGGGGATCTGGAATCTGTACACTATTTTTAATGTGGCTGATGAATGCTTCTTGCTGGTTTTATCATTTATACCTTGTCTTTGGAAAGCAAAAGATAGGGCCCCAGGTCATTCTGCACAGAAGGCAAGAAGAGAAGCCTCCTTACCAGTGGTCACACAGATGCCCAGATAGAGTGTGGCCCACATAATGGCAAAAAGGATCTCCTTGGGAATAGCTTTAGCGAGGTCCTGAGAATAGACATTGAATTAGTGATGAACAGAAGAGAGGGGCAGCAAAGAGCATACACCATACCTGGACAGCCTTCTCACCTTGAGATTTCCAGAAATGCTCTAGTGAGGACTCTAGTGGCTGAGGGGAAGACTGTGGAAAACATACCAAAGAAACTGCCCTCTGAACCACACCACTGTTGGGCCATGTTTGCCCAGAAAACTCTTCCTGTGTGAAAGAACAGAGAGGAATACTTCCTGTCCTCTCTTCACTAAGCCAAGATCCATATTATCCTCTACCCAGTTTAATGTCAGTGACTTAGGCAAGGCTGGAGAGAAGGGAAGCAAACTTGGGGCCTGAGTACTCTGACTGGTCTGATGGGCAACTTGGCAAGTGAGAAGTAGAATTGGAAGTCAAGGATTCTTTTTTCTGAGACATTTTCCTGGGCTAATGGGGCCTCTCCTACAAAAGGTGTGAGGGACATTCTGAAATATTTAATCCTTTTAATACATCTTTCAGCCCAGTTCCTTGGTACCTAAAGAAACCAGTGGCTTATTCACTGGAGTTTGGCTGGATGAGTGTACATAGCACAGAGTTGACAAAAGTGTTGAGGATCAAGAAGACGATAACTTGGGTCTGAAATATGGGTGACAAAAAGACAAAGGGGAAATGTGAGAGGGCGGGAAAGAGGTAACTATTTCAAGTCTCAATTCTCTGTCTCATTTCAGTGCTCCTCTTAGCCCTCTCCTTCCTGTTCCCACTGACATAAAGGAGTCCCAGCCAAATGGGCATCCTTTTCTTCCAGCTGCAAAGCATTCCTGTACATGCCAGAGGTGGATCTTAAAATTGTAGACCGTTGAGAGCAATACATGTGATTTCTCATCTGTTATCTTCCCCTGTTAGTCTTGCCTGGTGCTCATCCCACCAGGTCCTCAGAATAAAGTCTCTTACCTTTATTCTTGAGCAGGGGTGTGGAGCCTTACCGAACAAAACTGTAACTTCAGGTTGCTTTCCATGGAAATCTGTTACATCAGCTCTTTCCATATTAAGCTGGGCCTTTTCAGGTAAGAGCTGCTACCCCCAACCCATCCCACATCTTTCCCCATTGTTGTTTGTTCAAGTACCACCATCCCTTCAGGTTCCTTATCCCCACTTCAGTTTTCTGGCAGCTTCCTTGGATTCCCACTATATGCTGGCCAGTGCCACACCGAGAAAGATAGTCAGTGACAACATATCCACCACCTGCTTCTCATCTCCTGGACCCATGTCCAGCAGTTGCATTGTGGTCCTAGAACAAAACACGCATTATGGAGTCCTCCTTGGCTGATTTGATATCACCATGTGACTTGAAGTGATTTGCTAAAGCTGGAGCTACAATGCAGGGTTAGACCTTCCAAGGTCAGCAAACTTGAAAAAGCACAAAAAGAAAAAGGACTGTCAGCACTGCCTACCCTACTCAGAGCCAATCCAAGACGATCTCTGCAAAGACCACTGTGTATGTTTGTAGCCACATCTGTGATTTTGGCAGAGGCAAAGATGGTCCCCATGGAACTGCCAACCTCTGGATCCAGGCACTGTGAGATGAAATAAAGGCTAGCTGGGAGGAGAGGAAGAAGGAACTAGTCTGATCTCATGAGTTCTTCAAGGACTGGACACCCCAAGAAATAATAGTTTGCAGCAAATTCATCAGCCTTGACTTTGCCATTGATGGAGATGACTGAGATGGACAAGGCAGTTATAGTAGTGACAGGCCAAGAGCGGGGTAATGTGCCTTGTGAGACCTGGGGTGGAATAAAAATTAATTTATTCAGGCCTTGTCCCCTAAATGCCTTGCTACCACCAAGGAAAGCTCTGAACTCACCTATCCCTATCTGAGCAGTAATCCAAGGCAGCTGCAGGTGGTGCAGCATATACCATGTCTGTGGAGCAGTATGGTGAGGGAGGGGGGTTTCCAGCACACACCATACCTCCCCCAGTCTTTACCCTTTCATAAGAGATACTCTCCAGGATTACTGGAATAAAATTCCCTTTCACCCATTTAGATTCCCAAGCTCTGGGAACCCTGAGCTCTAGACCATTACCATGACTCCCAAGACCTGACCAAAGCACCCTGGGGCCTTGCCCATCCTGGCCCAAGAACTCTCTGGATTATCTTAGGCATGTAGTGTGGCACAGGTGGAAGTCAAGCCATCCCAAAACAGCACGGACTGATGGAAATGCTACATGCCTTCTCTAGTCACCATGTCTTCAACCAGGAGGATTGCTTAGGGAAGCGCAGTCAAGCCCAGAACTCTAGTGGGGAGTACAAGCTGACACAGAGAACAGATACGGTATCTTACCTTTGGGAGTCAGCATGTGTTTTACCATGGTGGAGCCATGCAGACCCTCTGGCTACAGTGGAGCTGTCCTGGGCAATGGAGTTGTCATAGAGTTCATAGTAATGTCCAATGTCCTTGTCCTGGGTGATGGCAGGCAGAGGTTGACTAATGCTGTCTCTAAATTACAGTTCCTCTACTTTCTGGTGGGGGTTCAAGATGCTGGCTCCACTGTCTCACTTCAGGAAAATCTTGAGAGTAGTCTGAAACATCTGAGCAAGAGGAGAGATGGAAAATGGTCATTATCTCTCCATGGTCTGCCCCTCATACCATTTTGAGGAGTGTGGTCCTAGGCAGGTTCACCCAGGCCATGCTACCAATTTGGCCAGGATACCCAAGTTGTAAGTGGGGAAACAGCTCCTGAAGCATGTGTTGTTGTGTAGTTCAACTCTGCCTTCTTACCCCACACCTGTAAAAGCTCACTTACCTTCATTTTAAGGAACAAGCATGTTTCTCCTCCATTAAGTCTGCTTAATTTTTAGCCTATCTAGCCTGGAGCAGCCTTTTATAGGCCAAGGAATCTGCCCCTAGCAGCCTTTGACCAGTCTTACCTCTTCCAGAGAAGGGAGGGGAGGCATGTTGGTACCCTCCTCCCTAAATCCTTTTCCCCTGGATGACACCCAGAACAGCCTTGCTTTTGAGGTTTACCTAATAGGTTACCCTATTTTGGGGTTTCCACCAGGCATTAGGTCTCAGGATGAGAAAGGAGATATTCTGGGCAGACGATATGGTTATTGGTGTTCTGCCTCAAGTACGCACTCCTAGCCTGTCTAGTATAAGACTCTGGTCTCCAGTGCAGGGGAAGTTGACCACGCATTCCACTGGCTGCTCCTCATCCCAGTAGGCCAGGTTAAATTCCCCTGGATTTTTCCAAAGGTAGAGTTGATTTCTGTGTACCTTGAGACAGAAAGCCTTGGCCAGATCAGTCACCTAGGGCAGCTCTACCCTCTGCTCCATTAACCTTTTCTGTTTGTCATGGATAGGCCTGGGGTGTTTGCTTTTGTTTGTCATGGATAGGCCTGGGGTGTTTGCTTTTTACATCAGTGTTTGCTGCAAGGTCCCAGCTTTATGATGCACAGAAAAGTCAGGGTTAAAGAACTGATGCAAAACACACACCTCACTCATCTACCTCTGAGTGGTCCAGACTCCAGCCCCTGCCTTCCACCCGCGATACACTGTGATAAACAGTCCTGTCTTGGCTCCCTCCACCCTGAATTTCCCTCATTCAGCACCCCAGGGGAAGGAGGGAAAGTCATCCCAGGACGCGTTGCAAGGTATTGGGTGTCAGAGTTTGGGCATCGGGAGCACAGTGTTTAGCTCTCCAGTCCCAGCTATAATTAGCCAGGTGGGGCCACTGACTGGGCTGGGAACATGAATTTGGTCTGCACAGCCCAGTCCCAAGCAAAGCAAGCAACCCACAGAGCCAGCAGAAGGCTACTGTTTTGTAAGCCGTGACTAAAGATGGGAGGGGTCTGGCCCTAGGGTGCTGGATGTCTACACACACCTCGCATGCTTTGCTGAGCCCAAAGAACCCAGTAGCTGGCACTGTATGGCCTACCACTCCAGTCTTGGGACACAGCTTTGAGGTGGGGGTAGGAGACTGGAAGAGGGAGGGACTGGCTGTTCCAAGATCTGAAGACATAGTTCCTCTGACCTTCCTGGGCACACTAAGACACCCTTCTCTTGCCTGCTCGCCTGCAGTAATCAGAGAAACTGGGCCATGAGTGTCTGTGAGGCCACACATCACCACTCCAGCCGGGAGTGTGTCCCCTTTCCGGTCCAGAAGGACGGCCTAGGACTCCCTGTGCCTGCTGCTTTCCTTTCCTTTCCTCTGGAAGAGCCTGGCTTCAGACCCCTGGTCCCAGGAACCCTTTCCTCTCCAGTTGCCTCCCTAGAGGAAGAGGAGGAAGAGGATGAGAACTTTGCAGGCCCTCCTGAGGAGCCTGAGGGGCTTTACAGCGAGGAGCACTCGAGCCAGTTCTTTGCCGAAGCACGGCGGCTGTGGGAGCAGAGGCTGCTGCTGGACGAAGAGGTGTCAGTCGGTGCGCGGGTTTATGGAGTGCATCGAGTCATCTTGGCGGCAGTCAGCAGCCTCTTCCGTGGCAGGCTGCTGGGTGGCGGGGGCTCGAGAGGTGGCCTCAGCCTGGATGTGGCCCCTGGGGGCTGGGAGGCCGTGCTGACCTTCGCCTACAAGGGTGTACTGGGCCCCGCCTCGCAAGGGGATGTGGTGGCTGCAGCGGAGGCCCTGGGAGCGCCCCGGGTGAAGGCTGCAGCCCAGCGGAGGTGCGAGGTCCCTGGAAACACCAAGGAAAATGAAAAGCCGCCCAGCCAGGCGGAGGAGCTGAGGGAAAACCTGCGCAGCATCGAGCGACTCTACCGAGAGGGTGTTGGGTGTGACCTAGAGCTGGAGGCAGAAGGCTACCGGCTGCAGGGTGAGGCTCTATGCGGTATTACTTGAGTGTAAGCACGTATGCTACCCAAACGGTGTGTGCAAACAGCTGGTGCTCTGAACACTGCCAGCCAGAGCTGCTGCATTTGGTCTGCTCTAGCCCCACTGAGCTGCGCATGCACAACTCTGTATTTTGTTTTGTTTTGTTTTGTTTTTCTTGTCTCCCGAGTGCTGAGAAGCTTAAACTGATTCTGTGGCCTCTGTTTTGTTTTGTTTTTTTCCAGCATGGTATTAAGGGATTTCCAGCCAGTTGGCTGGAGCCAAGGGCACCATTAATGGCACTACAACAAGCAAAAAGTGATTGACTCAAGCAGATTAACCAAAAGCTCCTGGCATTTTCTATTCAGTATGTCAGAAGGCAGAGAAACAGGATGGAAAGCTCAGTGCCTTTCACCTTTCACCTCCATGTATTGGACACAATAGTAGACTTGTGGGTTGTGGAGCTAGCAAGCAGGGTCTGGTACATTTTGCCAGAATCTTAATGCTTCTTAGCCAGGCCCATTGAAGTTAACTGGACATCACCAGGAGGATTACAGTTGAATACGTTGATTTTTATTCAGATCCTACTGTGCTCTGAGGAACCAGAAATTTTTACATGTGCCTCTCTTCTCAATGGAGACTAGTGAGGTAGATACTGCTTATTCTAGGTCCAGATAATAAACATTAAAGTCAGGGGTCTGAACAGGTTAGAACCAGGACACACACTCCACCACATTAGTCCTGTCTGCTTACTGTATGCCCAGCATTGCCTCCTATGAAGTTATTCCAAGACACATAGGACGTAGAAAATGGAGTCAAAATGCAGCCCAGGAAAGTGTAAATTTACAAGGGATTGGTTTAGTGGCTAGTTCAGGTTTTTTTGTTTGTTTGTTTGTTTGTCTTTGTCTTTTTTTTTGGCAGAACTGGGGCTTGAACTCAGGCCCTTGTGCTTGCCAGGGAAGCACTTATTCTACTGAGCCATCTCCCCGGCCCTGGCTAGTTGTTTTTATACTTTGCTAATGAATAAATCAGACTTCAAGACATGTCTAAAGTCACATAGTTACTGCTCATTAGAAGAATGACTGGGTCCTAATGGTTTCTGCAACTCCCAGGAGAAAATAAATGGCGCCAGAAATCTTTATTATTATTTTTGATAGCACTAGATGGAAGGGGGCATTTGACATTTCGTAATTATAAAGTTGTCACTCAGCTTTGGAATTTAAACACAACCATAGGGGATGGTGATGAATAACAGGTGAATGCAAGCGGTTGTGATCCCTTCCCCAGCTGGCGCAGATCTATAAGGTGATATATGGAAGTGGAGATGGCTTAGCTTATTTTCAGGAATATAGATTTTTCCAGACAATATATAATAAAAAGCTATCAAAGATTTTTGTTACTTGGGAAGCCACAAGCCACTTACTGCTTAAAAAGCCAACAGAAGTCATATGAACACCAGTTACCCATTGAGAGAGGCAGAGATGTTGCAAGTGGTCAGTGCAGCTTGAATGTGTAAACCTCAGTGAGCATTTGACTCTCTGTGACCTGCTTGGTTGGACTTCTAGCAATATTTTCTCTGTATTATGAAGCATTTCAAGCACATAGTAAAATGAAGAGAATAGCCTGACAGGTATTTACTTGTCACCCAGGCTAAACAACTAACATTTTACTATTTATTTCTTTTATTGTTTTATAAAGATTATGACATTTCCTTCATAAATTTTCTGATAAGGCAGTCAAACATGGTGGTGCATGTCATATATGTAATGCTCGCATTGAGGAGGCTGAGGCAGGAAGACTGGGAGTTAGATCTTAGTCTGGGCTACATAGTGAGTTCAAGGCCATCTTGAACAAAAATGAAGGACCTTTGGGTTGGAGATGTGGCTCAGGGTGTGTGTGTGTGTGTGCGCGTGCGCGTGTGCACGTGTGTGCGTCTGTCTAACAGGTGCTAAAGCCCAAATTCCATCCCTAGCATTGCAAAAAAAAATTTTTTTTTGTATATCCATGATATGTTTTTTATGTCCAACAAAATTAACTTTTCTTTTTACCAGTTCGGTCCACCCTGAGGGCAAGGTTGGGGCAGCGTGTGGTGCTGGGGATCAAACCGCGGTCCCCTGTGCCCATCTAAGTTTACCTACACAGGCGCTTTAAACCACTGAGCTATCTCACCAGCCCCAACAATTCTTTAATAAATATCATTGATCCACATTTCTATTTCCCAAGTTCAAAAATATCTTTTAGAGCTGGTTTGTTTAAGGATTATACTGTAATCACTTGTATGCTTCTTAAGTCTAGTTCAATGCTCTCTCCATTTCATGACTTGACTTACTGAAGAGACAAGATTGGTTATCCTATAAAATATTTCATTTCCTGGATTTCTGTTTCTTTCCTTATAATTTTGTTTAGTTAGTTCCTTTATCTTCTCAAAGTCCTGCAAACTTGACTTCAGATTAATGAGATTAGACTAAATAGTTCATCCAGAATGTTCCATAGATGCTGCTGAGTACTTCAGATGGAGTTACTGTAGGCAATATATAAGTTCTGTTTAACAATGTTTCGGGGGCCCAGCCCTAGCTCAGTTCTTGGGCTGGTGAGATGGCTCAGTGGTCTAAAGCACCTACTTAGAACAAGCTTAGCAGAGCACAGGGACCCCGGTTCAATCCCCCAGCACCACATGCCAGCCAGCCCCGCCCCCTGGTGGGCTGAGCTGGCCACACACACACACACACACAAACACACACATACACACACATACACATAAATAAATAAAATTAAAAAAAAATTTTTTTTAAAACAAACAATGTTTGTTAATGGACAGTTTTGCTGTAGTAAGTGCCCTGCAGGTAACCAAGATATTGGTACAAAAGCACATTTGTTCCAGTTTGTCATCAGTGGCAGTGGATGGTTTTGAACTGCCTAAGTAGCCACTGCATTGAAGAGGAAATAAATCACATCCTTTCTTTGGGACTCAGTTTTCTTACCTTAAAAGTAATAACTGAACTAGATGATTTTGAAAGTTGAAGGTTTTTTAAAAATATATATTTGGTACAGGGTCTTACTGCACAGCTTGGACTCTCAGTGATCCTCCTGCTTTCAGCCTCCTCAGCACTGGGATTATAGGTGTGCACCATCACCCCAGTACAGAGTAGCCCACTCAGCACGCCCAGGGGCAGGGCCAGCACAGCATGTGGTTCAGGGGATAGAACACAGTCTCTGTGCTTGCCTAACGAGGCGTTAGATGGCTGAGCTACCTTCCTGGCCCCTGCACATTGATTTTTCTAGTTTATTTTGTGCTGCTTTTTCATAAAGATGCTATCTCAAGCATCTTCTCAATTTGATCCATTGAGGCACTTTTTCTACTAGGTCTGGTGGTTCACGCCTATAGTTCCAGCCCTTGGGAGGCAGAGGCATAAGAATCTCAGTGAGTTCAAGGCCAGCCTAGACTACACAGTGAGACCCTGTCTCAAAAAACCAACCCTCCCAACTACCCCCCCAAAAAAAACCCTACTTACTCAAACTGACCTGAACTCAAAAAACTAAAGCATATTCACTAACATGGGAATCATTTGGGGTGCTTCAGAATACTAGCATACACATTCCTACTAAATCAGAACACTTGGGGTGGGCCCCTGAAAGCTGCACTCTACACGTACTCCATGATTTCTCAGTGCACACAGCAGCTTCACTGTGCCCTTGGGTGTTTGGTCCAAGATTGAGATTGCATAGCAGGGTTGCCACACTGTGGGTCTTCCTCTGTTTCTTTCTTGCAGTGCACCGAGCAGCCCTGGCCTGTGGCAGTGAGTTCTTTGGGGCCATGCTCCTGAGTGGAATGAGGGAATCCCAAGGCTCAGAGGTATCTCTACGTACCATGTCTTCCCAGGACCTGCAACTCCTTGTCTCTTTTGCCTACTCTGGGGTAGTGAGGGCGAAGTGGCCAGGACTTCTGAGAGCTGCCCAGGCTGCTCTGCAGTACCAAAGTTCTTCCTGCCTGGATCTGTGTCAGAAAGCTTTGGTGCGAGGCCTCAACCCTGCCCGTTGCCTGGCCTTATTCGCCATAGCTGAAGCCCCTGGTTTGGAGAGGCTCTGGAGTAAAGCTCGTCACTACCTCCTTAGTCACCTGCCTGCTGTGGCTTTGTGCCCTGCTTTCCCTTCCTTACCAGCTGCCTACCTGGCTGAGCTCCTGGATAGTGATGAACTTCATGTACAGGAGGAATTTGAGGCCTTCATGGCTGCACGGTGTTGGCTAGCTGCCAACCCTGAGACACAGGAGTCCGAGGCCAAGGCCTTGCTACGCTGTGTCCGCTTTGGCCGTATGTCTACCAGAGAGCTGAGAAAAGTGCGGGCAGCTGGGCTCCCCTCATCGTTGCCCCCAGACTTGCTGTACCAGCTGATGGTGGAGGCTGAGGTTCCAGGTCAAGAGAGGTGGAGAAAACCTGACCAGGCACTGGTGGTGATTGGTGGGGACGAGCTCAGACCTGACATGGCCCGAAGACAGACTTCTCAAAAAGTGTGGTGGGCCAGGGCCTTCCACTGTGGCATGGGACTGGTACGAACTGTGGAGTGGGGACAGCTGCCTGCTCTGCCTGCCCCCGGGCGCTTCCGGCATGGGGCTGCAAGCCTGGCAGGAAGTGAACTCTATGTGTGTGGGGGTCAGGATTTCTACAGCCACTCCAACACTCTGGCTTCAACTCTCAGGTATGAGCCTCTCAGAATGGGCAGGGTATGGCAGGTCCCAAAGTGGGCATGTGAGAGAAATTGATGACCCAAACAACCACAAGATCCCAGAGTCAGTCTTCCCATTTCTTTTTTTACTGTGTTCCAGGTGGGGCCCCAGTCAAGAGGACTGGGAAGAGATGGCATCTTTGTGCCAGGCTCGGAGTCTGTTCCCTCTAGTGGCATTGAATGGACAACTTTATGCCTTAGGTGGACGATATAATGGTGTTGCCCTTAACTCTGTAGAGACCTACGATCCTGAGCTCAATGCCTGGAGGTAAGTGGGAAAGGTTACATTCAGGGAAAAACTACGCTTTGGATAGAAAGAGCTGAAAATGGCAGTTGTCTGACCTTGTGTCCTGTTCTGCCTTAGGTCAGCACCTGCGCTTCCAGCCCCATGTTTTGCCCACGCAGCTGCCATCTTGGAAGGCCGATTGTACCTGAGTGGTGGTTGTAGTGGAGCTGGCCAGTACCTGGCCTCATTGCTGCACTATGACCCCAAACTTGAGAAGCCAGAAACACTTTTGAGTCCAATGGGCATACCTCGGGCTGGCCATATCATGGCTGCTCTGGGTGGGCGGTTGTATGTGGCAGGTGGGTTAGGTGAGATAGGGGACCTGTTGAGCTTTGAGGCCTATGAACCAAGGACTGATAGCTGGACTCACTTAGCACCTCTGCCATCCCCCCATGTGGGTGCTGCAAGTGCTGTGCTGCAGGGAGAGTTACTGGTGATAGGGGGCTATAGCCACTGTACCTATGCTCTCTCCCACCTTATCCATGCCTACTCTCCTGGGCTGGGCCGATGGTTGTGCCTGGGGACTTTGCCAAGGCCACGGGCTGAGATGCCTGCATGTATCTTGACGCTGCCCACAGTGCAGCATACAGCTTTGGTTGCCACCCTGCATGAAACCAAACCTGCTGGGTGACAGAGGAGTAGCGGTGTATGGGGAGAGGAGAGATGAAATATGAAAAACAGAGATTATGAAAGAGCAATTACTATTGTTTTTTTAAAAACATTTATTTATTTGGTGCAGGGTCTTGCTACACAGCTCAGACTGGTAGTGATCCTCCTGTGTCAGCCTCCCCAGTGCTGGGATTACAGGCATGTGCAACCACTCCCAGTTCTAGTGGCTACTTGGCATGAAGCCAGTGTGGCATGTAGTACCAGGAATCAAACCTAGGCCTTTGCACTTACCAGGTAGGCATGTAGACTGCTGAGCTATCTCTCCAGCCTGAGAAATTACTATTCTTGATAGTATTTTTATGCAGTGCTAGTCAGCATACAAACTGCTTTTGTATATATGATATCCATGGAGGGAAAGTGATTCCAGAACTCCTGGGCAAAGAGCTTTGGGGAAGGAGAGGCAGCTGAATATTCAAGATTATTGTTCGATTGATTTTTTTTTTTTTTTTTTTTTCTCGGAACTGGGGATTGAACTCAGGCCCTTGTGCTTGCCAGGGAAGCGCTTATTCCACTGAGCCATCTCCCCGGCTCAACTGATTTTTGAGACAGAGTCTTACTATGCAGTTTAGGCTGGCCATGAACTCTGTAACCCATGCTGGCCTCTATCTCATTGCCTCCTTCCTCACTCTTCAAAATGCTGGGATCTCAGGTGAGGGCCACTATGCTCTGTGGCAGCTGAATAATAGGATAAGAGAAGAGGCTGAAGCAGTAGGATCACCTAGAGTTAGAGGCCAACCTGGGCTACATAGTGAGTTCAAGGCAAGTCTGAAATATGTAGCAAGACCCTGTTTAAACGAACAAATAAACAAACAAACAAACAAACAAACAAACAAAAAATAGTGACCTAGGAGCCATGTTATAAGATCTAGAGATTTGTGAGAGGAGAGGTCCATCTGGTTGGAAGAGAGTCAAGTATATCCAGTATGAAATGTCTTCTTGTGAAAAAGGAATTTCCAATGGAGTAAAAAGAAATCCCACAAATTGGGAAAATATTTTAGCTGGCTGTCCTTCATAGGACTTTTATGTAGAACATAAAAAGGATTAGAAAAAATCAGGCCTCAGAAGTTCAAAGACCCAATCCAAAAAATGAGCATCTGAGATGAATATGCACTTTTCAGATGAAGAAACACAGATGACAGACAAATATATGAAAAGATTATCCAATATGGAATGGGGATATACCTCAGTGATAAGAGTATCTGCTTGGCATTTATGAGCATCTGGATTCAATCCATGGTACATATAAACACATACACACACACACACACACACACACACACACACACACACACACACAAATAGAAGCTCTAATAGCCAAAGCTTAGGGATCTGAGAGGACAGTTGGAAAAGTATTTTTTTTTTTTTTTTTTCCGGAACCAGGGATTGAACTCAGGCCCTTGCGCTTGCCAGGGAAGCGCTTATTCCACTGAGCCATCTTCCTGACCCTGGAAAAGTGTTTTAAGCCATGGATCATAGAGAAAAATACAAGCCACTTGTATTCTAATCCATGGCGGTGCAGTGCATGTTTGAAATCCCAGCCACTCCAGATGCTGAGGCATCACAAGTTTGAGGCTAGCTTGTGCAATTTTGTGAGACCTTGTCTCAAAATGAAATGAAAAGAGGCTGGGGGCATAAGTGAGTGGTAGAGCACTTTCCTGAAATGTTCAACACCCTGGGTTCTTCAAACCTTAGCACTGAAAGGGAGGAGGAGAGGAAAGGAAAAAGAGTAAGGAGGGAGGGGAGAAGGAGGAGAGAGGGAGGGAGGGAGGAAAGGAAAGAAAGAATTGTGGAAAGGGCATCCACTAGTTTGAGGAATGTGGGAGGAATTGTTCATCAGTTTCTTTCCTAGCATTTATTCCTTCTTACTCCCACTGCTGGCATACCCAACTCCTCCTGGCAATGTTTTACCTTTGCTAACTTTGCTGGCACAATCTAGCATTTCTCAGCGCAGACTCCATAGGATGCCCTGGCAGCCTTTTGGTTTTCTTTCTTTTTTTTTTTTTAATTATTTATTTATTTTTATTTATTACATTTATTTATTGTGTGTGTATGTGGCCAGCTCAGCCCACCAGGGGGTGGGGCTGGCTGGCATGTGGTGCTGGGGGATTGAACCGCAGTCCCTGTGCTTTGCCAAGCTTGTTTCAAGTAGGTGCTTTAGACCACTGAGCCATCTCTCTAGCCCAAGCCTTTTGGTTTTCATCTGAGGCAGAAGTTCTTGTCACAGCAAAGGGGCATGATATGCATGATGGACCTTCAGGACAGTGAAGTGGGAGCACTGTAAGAGGGCTAAGGAGGACAGAGGCCAGGGAGGGAGGTGCCCAAGTGGAAAAGGAAGGACAGAAGGTCTGGAGGCTGAGGTGGAAGAAGGCAGACAACTGGGCTTCTTTCTCTTTGGATGAACTGGAGGATCAAGAGCAGTAGTGGTGTGAAGTCCCAAGGCACACTTGGAAGTAGCTGAGAGAAGAACAAAAGTTGGGAAGACTTGGACAAGCCATTTTCCATCAGTCCTTCTTCTGTTTTGTTTTTAATGCATTTCTCTTTTTCTTGCCAAGAAAGGTTGAGTAAGACACTTGCTCTCCCCCTTCCTCTCTCCTGTTCTTTCTCATGAATATTTTTCTTCTGTTTCTCACCTCTGTTCTCCTGTCTTGCCCAGTATGAGCCAGGCACTATATGAGGCCCAAGGACACACAGGTCAGAGCTCCTGGCAGAGGACACTTCATGAGATTTCCCATACAAGTACTGTGAAAGCATGAGATTACTATAAAAGCTGAGAGGATGAAGGCATGAACTCTGTTTGTGGAGCTTCCATAAGAAGAGGCAAGTAGATGTAGTTTGAACTGAACTTTCAGGGCTGCCTGGAAATGCACCAGTTTGGAGGTAGAATTGCAGCTCAGTAGTAGAATGCTTCTCAAGTATTTGTGAGATCCTGGGTTTCATCTTTAGTGTGTGTGTTTGCGCGTGCACACACGCACGTGCACACACACACACACACACACATACACACACACACAGTACAACTCCACAGTTAGAGAAGGAGGAATGCATCTTAGAAAGAAAGAAGTAATTGGGGTATGTGTGCACTGTGCCCTGCTTCTCCATAGAAGGAGAAACCAGCATTCTAGAGATTCTTGAGAGAATTCTGCTGCTGTCACCACCCTGCCCTCTTCACTAGAGTCTTCTCTGAAGACAGTGGCTTTTGCTTAAATGTGTACACTTTTCTCCAGGACTCTGCTACATCTTTTCCCTCTGATTTTCCTTTTCTGAACCCTGCCTCCCATGTTAGGCAACAAAAAGCTAAATATTCTTTCTGTAAGCTAATTTTCCTTTATTTTGTTGTTCTTGTTTCTATGTCTTTTTGAGACAGAGTTTTGCTATGTAACTCAGAGTACCCTGGACTCACGATGTAGCCCAGGATGCCCATGAACTTGCATCAATCCTCCTGCCTCAGCCTTTTTAGTGCTTAGATTACAGGTATGTACCAGCATGCTCAGCTTGTAAGCCAATTTTTTATTATCATTGTTTAAGTTTTCCATAGTCAGAAGGGTGATGATGGAGCCCCCTTACCCCAAAAATATTTGACATGTGTTTATTTTTCTTAAAGATGCATTATTTTAGGAAAGTTTTTTTTTTGTCTTTTGTCTGTTTAGGATGATAAGGAATATTATTTAAAATTAGAAAGACTGAGTAGGATTTATAATAGAGGATGAGGTAGCCATGGTGGGCAGACCTGTAATCCTAGTACTCAGGAAACTGAGGCAGGAGGATTACTGTGGATTTGGGGCCAGCCTAGGCTGTACAGTGAGTTCAAGGCCAGCCTGACCTACATAGCAAAACCTTGTTTCAACCCCACCCCAGACAAAGACAGACAGACAGACAGACAGACAGACAGACAGACAAAGGTAGAAAAGGAAGTAGGAGATTAAAAAGGATGAAACATTGTAAGAATTGGGTGAACCTCTGTGTACATTTTCTTTGTGATTTCTTTCTAAGGATGAGCTTAAATAAAAGTTTTGCAGTGATGAAATCATTCTTATCTGAGTTTTCTTACTAGAAACTTTATCAGTGAAAATAATGTTCTCTCCAGTTAGGCCAACAGTCTGCAGCCATATTCTTTCTCCCTCATCCTTCTGCATCTTCACTAAGTGGCTTGGAAACTTCTCTTCCCCTAGAAATCTCTCCTCCCCTGGCACCAGAGGAAGCACATTCCCTTTGTGGCCTTTCTCTTAGTTCTCTAATGCAAAGGTGTGGTACTAGGCAGACTCCTACCATCCTCAGGGATGTGCCCCCTCCAGTAGGAGCTGATGACCAAGGGTTTCAAGGTTTGTTCTGGGCAGGAGCAGCAATGATGTCTGAACAGAAGAAGAGAAAAAAAAATACACAGAAAGATTAATAGATTCATGGAGCAGACATGGAAATACGTGCTTCTAAATCCCAGCAGCATGGGACGCAGAAGGATGGCAAGTTTCAGCCCAGCCTGGGCAACTTAACAATTTAGCAAGAACCTGTCTCAGAAAGTTAAAAGAGCTTCCTCTCCCCTGCATGACTGAAGCCCCATGGCCACAGTGGCCGAGCTCTCCCTGACAGTCATCAAGAGGGAATCTGGCATAAGAAAAGTGCTATATAAATGAGTCGATGCAGGTCATGCTGCAAGGATTTTGCCTTCAGTTGGTGCTGCTTCCCTGAAACAATGATGGCTACCAGACTTACTACATGGATGGCAAAGGCATGCTGAGCAAAAACTCTTTCTTGTGGCTTGTGCCCAGAATGGACTCTAGGTTTCCCTGAGTAGCTTGAGCCTGGCTGGTCGTCTACCAAGATTGCATGATCCCAGTAGCGCTTTGCTAGCCAGTGGAGCTTCTGCCCCTGCACTCCCATTATCTGTAAAATCTGAAGCTAAGGCCAAATAGAGTGCAAGTTTTGATATCTTAGGTCCAGTGAATGGACTTTTTTCTGGTGAGTGTTGCTCAACTCTTAAGTTACCCTTGAACATCCTTGGAAGAGTTTGGGAGTTGAGCGGTACTGATCACGGAGGAGTGCGTGACAGAACTGAGTTTGCAGTTATGGAATTTTCCACTTAGCTGTTATTTGTCTTTGTCAGTGCAAGAACCTTAGTTGAAGGGCCATGCTTTGAGTATAGTGTGCACTGGAAAATGAACCTGTGGCAATGTCTTTTCCTCCAGCTTTGGTGCCACTGTCGAAAAGAAAAATGTGGGCCAGCTAAATAGCTCAGCGGATTAAAGTGCTTGCTTAAGCAGATGCAGCAGCTTTGGTGGGATCCCCATCTTGCAGTGCCAGCTCCACCCCTGGGGCACACTGAGACAGGGATTGAGACTGGCTGTGGTGGGGCTCACCTGTAATCCCAGCTCTTAGGAGGCTAAACAGGTGGATCACTACAAGTCCCATCTACATAGTGAGACCCTGTAGACTCTGTACTAAAAAAAAAAAAAAAAAAAAAAAAGTGGGTTGCATCATCTTCAGAAAAAGCTAAAAAGGAAGAAACCTTCTTGAAAACAGATAAAGATATGTATTGAATTTGTGTCTGGATTGGAGGGCCATGAAATCGTCCTGAAAACAGGTTTACCTTTTACCTTACTAGCCCATATTTGTGCTCTATGTGATGCAGAAGACTGTGGGAAGACTCCAGAGAATCAGTTTGCTTTGGCTTTTCACTTAAGCATCTGTTAATAAAATGGGAAGGGAAGGCTCCTCCTTTTTCTCTCAGACTACTTCTTCCCCACCCCCGCCACATAAGGCTGAGGCCCACGACTGAAGAATGTCCCAGGTCCTGCTAGGGAAGGTTCTCCTTAGGAATGTCATCCGGCACACAGAGGTTCACAATCAGATCCAGGAAGAATCAGATACATGGAAAATAAGAGAGAAACAGATGGAGGATACTTATCAGGAAACCAAAAGGAAAATGTTGCCCGGCAGTTCAAGTCAGGTGTGGAGTGATAGATTTGATAAAGAAAGACAGAGAATATTGGAGGCCAAAGACTGAAATTTCTGGGACACTGGAAGATGGTTTTCTTAAATCTAAATCCTGGAACAAGAAGTTGTATGATTATAAAGCTAGTATGCCAGACAGATGCGGTCACAGTGGGTATAAGGAGTTATACCCTGAAGAATTCGAAACGGACAGTAGTGATCAGCAGGATATTACCAAAGGGAAGAAAACACCTCAGATAAAATCATCTGCCCATGAATCCTGCAAACATAAGTCAAAGAAGTCTCACAAAAAGAAGCAGAAGAAAAGATCACACAAAAAACAGAAGGAAAGCAAGAAGGAAGCCACAGATGTAACAGAACATTCCTCAAGTGAGTCCTCAGAAGAAATCGGCGCTTCTAGTACCACCTCTTAGACACTATGACCAACATTATAGTGCATCACATAATGGAAACCATCTACTAGCAAGTATAGAGATCTTATGTACCCTTCCTACAAAAAACATGAACACTAAAAAGTGTATTTCTGTACTGGATTGCAGGATCTTTATCATTATTACAAAGCTTTACTTTTCCATGTATTTCAGTTGGTGTGACTGGACAGCCCCATATGTATCTCCTGTAATTATCTTTGCAAAGAAGCACAAACCATGTTGGGTTTTAATCTTTTATTTCTACACATTCTTGCAGTGAGGTCCAGGCTGGCCCCAAACTTGCCACTCTCCTACCTCAGTGTCCCAAGAGATGGATTACAGTTGTGCACTACTATGACTGGCTTAAGTCTTTGAGAATTAACTTTTTTTAAAGGCACTACAACAGTCATATTTGTGGTTATCACATCTTTCCCTGTGATGACCTGCTCTGTGTCCTCCAGGGTGTACTTTTATCTTGCCTTTTTCTCTTTTACTCAGCCCAAGTTCACTCTGCCCAGCCGACTTCTCCCTTCACTTTTTCTTTCTTTCTTTCTTTCTTTCTTTCTTTCTTTCTTTCTTTCTTTCTTTCTTTCTTTCTTTCTTCCTTTCTTCCTTTCTTCCTTTCTTCCTTTCTTCCTTTCTTCCTTTCTTCCTTTCTTTCTTTCTTTCTTTCTTTCTTTCTTTTTTGCATTTCAGGGAAGGGTCTACAGGGTGTTCAGGGTCTCACTACTAGATTGGACTCGTAGTGATCTACCTGTGTAAGCCTCCCAAGAGCTGTGATTACAGACGTGTGCCACCACGCCAAGTCTCTTCACTAGTCTCACCCCTCCAGCCAGGGCAAGGCATGTGCAAGGTTTTGCAGGAAAGGAGGTGACTTGTCTTAACAATAAGGATCAAGAAGCTGGCAAGAAACATCTAAGGTGAGGCATTATAAACTGTACAGTATAATTACTCTCTTAGAATACTGAGTATATTCTAAATCTTGGTGACCCTTAGGAACAAGGAGTCTGGTGAAAAGCCTTGAGTTTTCTACAGCTTAGGGTAAGACAACTCCCAAAAAATTACATACATATATACATACATCTCATTAATGATGAGCTCATAGTATTTTTACAATAGTGTGAAGAAGGTATCACCTTGCAAGTCCCCCCTGAATTGCTGCTTCGGTAATCATGAGTGAGTCCCTTGCTCAGCCTGGATGCCAGCGCCTGGACTCAT